ACATAGTCTCGAAATTTCACCTGATATAAGTGGAAGTATTAACAGAATCAATTTTCTAAATCAATTGAAATATGCAGAGTGACAAAGTGTAAGCACTTCTGAAACTATATGCCTTTAATTAAAAATCATATGAAATTTAAAGAAACACACTTACTCAGATATTATTAGAGGTATTATTGCTGTCGCAAATGCTACTAACAAGAATTTGAATAAAACAGGAACAATAAATGGTACAGAATAAAATGGTACCATCATTTAATTCGTTGGGATCTCATCAGGTGCTTACAAGAATTTACCAGTAGTCTGTTGTTCGTGATGTCTTCTGAAATAGCCTTGAATGGCTGATAGACAGACTAGGTTCGGAGGAGGAGGAGAAGGGAAGACGATGCTTGTGGAACAATGTACAAAAGCGTGAAGCGAAGATGAAACAATCACAATACGAATAACTTTTGGAAATGGAAATCCTAATATAAGGTCTCTGTAGTTTGCCTCCACTGTATATCACTTCACCAAACAAACCATTCTGTTGTCTAGTGACAATGCATTCCGCAGTTAGAACAGTGTTGGCAATAGTGGGCTGACAGTAACAAGATTCTAAACGAAAGAGATTCACCATGTCACTTGATACCACTGAACTGGGTGAAACGATGCATTCATAAGATGAAAGTATCCATTGATCGAATTAGAATCAACTGGACTGATTGAATCGTCAATTGATGCATTAGAATAGTGCCATTGTCAACCTTGACTGGAATCCTACTATCATTTTTTCAACAGAAAAGAATGAAACTGGATGAGTGTATATGATTTATGTGAAAATAAAATCAATAGTATGGATAGATGGAACCACCAAAATATTGACCAAGTGATGGTCGAGTGAATGAATAAATCTACCTGCCTATTCTTCAGAATATCTTCAGAAAACAAATTTGTTAGTGGCATCGTTCACCCTGCTACAGAATGACATGATAAACAAAGGCATTTTACACCACCAAATGTGCATTTTAAGTGAGTATGCTATGAATATGCTTCGATTAACACTTAATTACATTATTCGATGACTATGGGTGTGTTAGCACAGTAATCAAAATGAATTCATGAGACGCCTATTAGTGGAACATTTGTGGAAATAACAGGTAATGTGTTATAGTTATTGAGGACATTGTGTTAGGAGTTATGAATGTATGTCGTAAATAGCATAACATCGAAAAGAACTGCAATTAACCAGTGTGGAGAGATGGGATATGGCAATATAAAGTAAATTTTGCTGGACAATTCACCAATTAATGAATAATAATAATATTTCATTGTTTGCTGTATGTCACATAAAATGGTCCTCTCAAGGAATCCGAGAATGTGGATTTCAGAAAAGCTATTCATAATGGGTGAAAACATTACGCAAATAATTCAAGTTAATCCAAGTAATTAAAAGCAATGCATAACAGGTTTCTAATGCAAGCTAACTCATCAAGATGGATTTCGAACCGGAAATTGAAAAGAAGATGAAATGAAAATCACCAAAATGATTGTTTGAGTAGAAAGAATGAACACTAAAGTCGATATACAAGATGTTAAAATAAGATAAAAGACAATCTGGTTGGGAGGTGATCACTTCTGTATGTTTGAAATTCTAGTTCTGTCTCGAAAGGAATACTTTAAAGTTTCGACTGAGTACTAAAATAATTCACCGCCTGTTTCTTTTCAGTGAACTCAAAACCCATATTTTATGGTGACAAAAACTCAAACAGATATAAGGCTGTAACGACAATTCAGTGAATTACGTTATGAAAGTATCACAACTACTGCCTCCATTACTAGGCACTAAGAATAATAGTGGATACGTGCTACATATACAAAGTTTTCAAATATAACCACAACAACACTGAGACATTTAAGTTACTAAGCATGTGTACATTACTGTATTAAGTAAATTGTATGAATGAACTACCCAACAAGTGAATACGGAATTATATTGTTAACTACGAGTCATAAATATTACGCATTCAACAAGGTCTGCTGTAAGATGTCAATCTTAACACATGGAAAAGCAATCTAGTTTATATCTAAAATAATCGATAAGAGAGTTGTGTAATGAGTATGCTGTTACTGAGACGGGAAGTAAAGGAAACTGTCTAACCTCAATCGAACAGTTAAACTAATAGAATTAAGGAGACTGTTCTACACATTGGACTACCACTACTTATTCTTTGTCATTCCGTTGTCTTCCAGCCTCGAGCATTGAAGTTTCAGCAATAATGGTGTGGATTTTATGGATTGGAGTTGCCAGCTCCATGCTCAACGTTTCCTCGTTTCTGTGTTTATTACCCGATAAGGGCAGTTTAGGCGTGAGTCTTCTGGGAACCGAACTTGGACGAATTAAGTGAGTAGTTGACAGGGATTCTGCCACTGAACCGACGACGCAGAAATGTCTGCAGGTAAAAGCATCGGAGTGATCCTGACCAGTTCATTATTAACGACTACAAAACACACACAGTTAACAAAATGTTGGGATTCATTTGAACACCTATTTTCTAGCTTAAGAAAGGGGATAACATGGAAGGGAAGTAAACTCAGTAATGTGTTATCTGATGCATGCAGCTTCAGAAGAATTGTAGAAAAGGAAGGAAAAACGGTATATTCACATTATCAATTTGAAGACGAGTTCAATAGAATTTTTATTAAGGGAACAAGATCAAAAGGAGACACAGCATAGATTAAATCACTGTTGAAATACACTCATCCTTGTCTTGAAAGAACAAATGTTTCCAGTGAACACTGAAGTGGTCAGTGATGTGCAAAATGTATCATATATAATAAAGTCAATTTAATCTACAAATAGATCTTCATTTACAATTCTTCAAAAATGAGATTCATCTGTCAAGTTCATGTTGTGTTGTTCAAACTGAATGAAATTGAGTGACAGTCAGTATATATGTAAACTTGGATGATATGTGATGACTGAATGTTGTTATTAGTAATGCAAACATCTAATGTTCAAAATAATGAGATGAATAAGATGATGGAGATACAAAGTGACAAGAGTACTTTACTGTTTGCAATACATTTAACTTGTTTTGATTCAGCTTGGAAGTAGTCGGCGTCGAATACTCTGTAAATGAGTAACAGTAACAACACCGATAAGTGAGACTGACGCGGTATTATCAATTTGCGATGAATAACATTGTTAAAATCAAGAAGCTAATCAGTCTTGGTTTACTTGACCAGGCAGACTGATATTTCCTAATGTCAAGTAAAATGACTAGTGGAGACTGCAACATTCAGTGATTTGTTCTCATTCTGACTAGTCCTAATCCACTTAACATTTTCAAGGAGGTGGTTATTTACTGTGTGGTTTTCACGATGAACAAGAACGTGCTGGTGATCGAGTTATCGAGGTCGATTATATCAAAATCGAAATCAGGGCCATAATGGTAAATAAATGAGACATTTAAGAAAACGAAATGGTTATAATTTGGTTAAGGATAAGAAGAAATGGTCAAAGCTTGACTGACAAGTTTTAGGTTCAACAAGGATGCGTGGGCTGAGGTGGGCGAAGTTTTGAAAGCCAGGAGAAATTCATGCGCAGACGAGTGTATATTGTTTGCATCTTCATCGCTCTACAGAAAAGAGAATTCAAACATACTTACTGGAGTCCAACACTTTGATATATTTCTTGGTGTGAAGACGTCATTCATCTTCTGCAACATTGATGTACTATGGCACTCCATAAAGAGAGCATCAACGAAGCAGTATCGCACTAATCAGGGCATTTTACACGAGCTCACACAACTGTGTGACAGCATAAGACGAGTTATCACCTGAAATAATGACAACAAGCGGTGTTCGTCGGGCATTCTCAGTGCCTGTGATTTTACTTAACATATTCACACATGTAGTAATGTATTGGATCTTTAGTGACTTAGGAATTCAGTTGTACAAGCGAATAATTTAATCAATTTAGAATATGCAGGAGGTGCAGTCCTTTTTGAGGAAAACTCTGTCGTGAATAGGGAGAGTGACTTCTAACAATTTCTTACATGAATTCAATTGTCAGCCTAAATTTAAATCATTCAGGCTACTGACAGCTTTTAGAGTTCTTCGTAATATAACATTTGTTTTAGACAGACCGGGAAATAGTAAAGAACGGAAAAAGAAACAAATAAACAAGTTAAAATAATCAACGTCGTGTAAAAGTAGAGGCTGAGTTATAACAGAGTGTTTTAACTTTCTTACGTAGAATCTTCGAGGAAATATTTTCCTGGAGATTAACGAGGTGTCGCACGATCTCTTCGTCACGAGAATCAGGAGAATAAACCAATTCGTACAAGTTTCGTTTACATTTATAAGTGAAATAATAGTCTAAAATTTGAAATTATTCAAACTAATAACATTTATCGAGGACAACCAGCTAATTTTTGATAAAAGCTATTCATTTCGGAATTGACATGTACCGATACAGTTAGATCATCAGCAAACTTAACAAACTGGTATCACCGCAAAGAGGTTAGTAATGTTAGGAGAAAGAAGTCGTGAAAACAGAAAAGAGTGGCACCTCAAAGGAAAGCTGCTCCTGTAAGCGATGTAGTCGAAGAATTTCCTTTACACACAGTATGTATTGCCTTACCACACATTATTTCTCTCCCTTTTTTGTTGATCTAATCTCCTTCGTCAACTGTCACCTATCCTACATTCCTGAAATTGACGATGATCGCCAACGGGACCAAGTTAACAATTTATGCTTTGTTATGAAACTGATGTCAATGTAATTATAGAGATGCTGACGAGGACATACTCTCAAGATGAGTAAGGCTCTTTTAGGTGTGTTGTTATTTTAAAAAGTACAGAGACAGTGATGTCATTTTAAACTCATTCAGAAAAAGTTTCCCGTCAGCTAGAATTCCAGCTTATAAATTTGAAACAAACACTCCTTCATGTGGATGAATCGTACTATTCCAAGATTTCCATGAAAATAAATTTAAAGAAGTTTATGGATCATTACGAACAGCAGTCAGTCTCTATTAAACTGTTCCAAATTAAAGACGATTATGATATATATAGACAAAAATCTCACCCATATTCAAAAAAGTCTTCCTCGGTATAATTTTCACCAATACTTTTTTCTCTATACGCATCAGCAGCTGCTTCTGAAGGTGCATCAATAGATTCTTGTGAAGACTCAACAACATTTTCTTTTGTAGGTACACCAGCAGTTCCCTCCTCAGGCTTTACCGGCAAGGCAGGTTCCTTTGGTTGTTGCTTATCCGGAGATGAAGTATCTCCAAAGATCATTGCATAGGATTGTTGGCATACACCAAACCATAAACAATCGACTAGATACAAAACTTGTTTCCCCCCATCACGTCCTTCCAAAACAACTAGACGGCCACCGGGTTTCAGCATATTTATCAACTAGGTCATTTATGTGCAAAAAAGTGAAAAATTAGGGGAGAGAGAATATCATGATTGTGTGATCAGTTGGTAATGCCTAGCCAAAGCTAGACACTTAAAATGACCAAAACTGGTAAACTAACATGAAACGTTATTCAAATGTGTATCAAATGAAATTCCGACGGTTGTCAGTATCTCACAAAGGCAAACCAACACGAGGAAAAAATCATCAAAATTGTGAAGAAGGGATGCGATAGGAAATGAATTTCCACGAAGCTACGACAATGTAGTTATCGAACCACTGATTCTTAACATCTAATAAACAAATTATACTAATTTGACTTGGATCATTTATGTGGTATGTGACGTCACTAGTCAGTGTTTGTTAAATGTCTTCCTTCTAAACGTCTTACTCTATGTTTATTACGAGACATGAATTACGGTATCATCTCGGACCCTTTAGTTCATATTTCACACAGAAAGAGTGATGCATAAAACAAAATTTCCAGACTTACAACCCGGACACCTCTGAATAAATGAAACATTGAAGAAAATTTATGAGTGCGAGAATTCATTTTCTCCCTTAGTTCAGTTACCAAGTGACACATTCTGTCAAAAGGTCTTCGTCAACGCACATAGGCTCAAACAACTCTACTGATTATCATTTAGTAAAACATCTTCATATACTACGTTATATTCTTCATATATATTCAAGCAGCGTCGACGAAGGCGATCGGAAAATTCACCATAAGAGACGAAACGAAGTTATGTTATGGCCCGTGGTTGATTTAAATTTACATACACATGTACATTTTCAGATGTCTCACACAAGAACATATACCTCCAAGACAACCTATCAAACCAAAAGCCCCCAAAGAAAGCACAAAGAAGGTCGCCCTGCCATATATAAAGGATATGTATGAGAAATCATTGCAGGACTCGTGAAACCTTTAGGAATTGACGTCGCACAGAAACCAACAAAATCACTTCACTCAGTTCTATGTCAACCAAAAGACTCAACAGCGAAAGAAGACAAAACCAACATCATCTACGAAATAGATTGTATCAACTGTGAAAAACACTACATTGGCAAAAGTGGACGTCCCCTTCGTCTTCGTATCCACGATCATAAACTAGCCGTCAAAAGCCATGACATCCACTTCCTCAAATATCACTACATACAGACAACCACGGACATCAATTCGATTGGGACAATGTTCAAATATTAGACAGAGGAGGGAATTTTTAGAAGCTTGGCATTCCAGTGAATCATCAATCAATATACATATCGAGATAGACAAAATTTATCAACCGATAAGAAAGAAACCTCACACACAAAGGGTTAAAGTTCAAGTCAAAGAAACAATCAGTTCCAATACAAGTAGCCTAGAAAGTGTGAAAACGCGCATAACAAACAATCACGTCCAAGGTCACCGGGAGAAATGATTAATAAACTCATGGAGAAATCTAAAAAGCTCAATTCAAACTGAAGTATGCGCTGAAGATGTCACCTAGCAAGGTGATGAAAGCTTCGCAAATTAACTATCCAGCTAGCTCAGAGAACACAACCACATCAAAATCATCCACCTGAGCTACAAATCTTCTCCAGCATATCTAGATATAAAATGAAATGATTTTGCTATATGATAAAATAATATCAACGGTGAGCTAATTTAAATTGAAAAGTTTAGTATTATCATTTCACAGTGATCGTGTTCTGCACTTGCAAACTATGACATGGTAGACATGGACTGTAACGATTTCACAAAACTCTCACTAGGTATGTATGTATGTTGCTGTACGCGCTGGTATAGTGTGAGGGATTTTTATATCACCAAAAGAAGAAATATATTCCTGTTTCCTCTATGGATAGAGCCAACATGAAGTGTAAAACGAATTAGTGAATGGGATGAAAACCGCTTGCCGTAAAATGCTCACGTCCTCCGATCATAATCATTCTAAAATATATGATCAAATAATGTACCTGAAACAATGAGGTGAGACAAACACATTCAGGTTTTGAATGAGGCACAAGTCTTCCAGCCTATTTCTATCATTTTCTAACAGATACGTTCGCTTCTGCAATTCCTTGCAAAACGAATCAATTGAGGGCTCAGGCACCCTTTCTTCGAGCCTTTGACTTCAGGAAATTATTACTTGGTGACCGAACCATCACTCAAAATCAAAATTGCTCATTCTTGGTGCTTTGTACTGCAGATCAACAAACATTGGTATTCAGTAAATCAAATAAATTTTTCACCTCGTTTGCAACTTTCTCCCCATTCAACGTAAATTTTCATTCGAACACAGATTCACTTTTTTGATAAATGAACCTTTAGTACATAAAGAGTGGGAAAATGTGCACAGACTCACTTTTGCCACGACACTTTTATCCTTTGTATAAACAAAGATACCATTATACGGAGCCCTTTTTGACCAAGCACTTTTAATGTCACCGGATGGAAATTCAATTTGTTTCCCCAGTTCTAAACCAAAATTGCGACCTCTGCTGTCATGCTGTAACCAATTTTCCACATTTTTTGAAGCCAGTTTAGTTAAATCCTCATTAGGCAGGGTTGATACAGTAACACCAGAACTACCAGTCTTCAGGAGAAATACAAACAAAGAGAATAGAATTGTAGACTGCTTCATGTTTAATAGATTTTCAACAACCGATAAACAGCCTAGCACATATTCTCCCAGTACAATACTATTAACGTCGGATTGCTTGTAAGAAACACATTGTTCGCTTATTCCATTTGACTTCAGCAAATCATGCACATGCATCGGTGGTATGGCGGTTAGGACGCTTGCCGGCCATGAATATGGTCCGGGTTCGATCCTCGGCCGACGCACTCCTTTACCTCACTGAACCAGCAATAATGCTGGTAAAGAGGAAAGATTGGGCATAAGGCTGGAAACCCCATCCTGTAAAAATAAACAACACAGCTACAGAAACTTCAAGCCACTAGCTTGGAGCCCTATGTTTCACTGGGGAACGTGAAGGAAAAAAAATCTTGCACACAATAGTGACTATGGTCTATGTGTGTAAATTTCCATGATCACAGCAATCACAGTTGTCAGTGTCTTAAGAATAACAATAACAAGTTTTTCGATACCGTCAGTACTTTTATAGCGGAAAGCATGCGGATGAAACACACCTTCTAACAAGTAATCAATAAAATCTAATAAACCATTAAAATACTGTATCTCATTGCAACAGCTGAATGCAACATCAGAGAATAAAGCAAGATAATATTAGTGCACATTTAATCAAGAACCAACATGAGTTAGAGATTCATTGGAAGACATAGAGCACTGAATAGGTCTTTTGTTCTAATTTGGGACCATTCAACATCGCACATACACTCCATCAAGAATCAAACCCATTATACCTGGTAAGCCTGTTTATTGTCCACTGAATCTAATCTCGCACGAGTCCGTTGTGAGGCGTGCCGCCATCATCATCATCATCAATGGGCACGCAGATGTTGACTGTTATTCTCCTGCTTAATAATGCAAACAATATAGATTTCCTGAAGCTCTATTGAGAAGGGATGAAGGGTGGAGTCCAAAATGTGAGAAATGAAGCAGGTGCTCACTGATGATACCCTTATTTGGCAGTGATTTTACATTGCTAATCGATGGAAAGTAGAACACATGAACCATTAGGTTTCGACGCACTTCATGAAAGACCAATACACTTGTTTCGTAACATGGAGGTCTAATGTCTGATTCTTAGTGGCACCATTGCTGGATACTTCTGAAAAGTTTCAAATTGAGATGAAACAGCTTTTCGGACCTATTTGGTTTGTCATGACTTTCTAACTTTGGGAAACATTTTAACATTTCGTAGTACAAAGGGCACTTGGGTATAAAAAGAAAATTATGCTTCATAATGAGTATTAACAGTTATTCATAGTACAATCATCGAGAAGCAAGCGAATTAGAGTCAAATAGAAGTCGATATGACTAGAATCAAGACTAAAACTAGTGCAGGTGCACATATCGTCTTGGGGAAGGGTTTCAACATCTCATCATGCAAATACAACACATTAGTGAGAGGAGGAGTATATATCTATCACAATAATTTGATCATAAAACAACGGCCAATTATTTTTGCGGAGTTATAGGATAACTGTTGACCATTTTGAAATTTGTTCATAGTAGTCAGTGACTTGGTATTGTGTTACAATATATTTCGTGTTACATGTTTAACATTAGTCCATATGGACATTTCAATGTAGATATTGTAGTATTAAGCACGCCCAAATCAATTTCAGTAAGTTTCTCAGGGCCTAGCTATATTACTCAGTGGATTAATGTTAGTTCCAATGAATTACTGACTCAACACTTCTTGACAATGATAAATTCATCCGAAACAAAGGTATTAAACAGTGTATTTCAGTGCAACAGACTTACCATTATCGAAACACACGCTGTGAGGTATCCACTGCCTGGATCAACAACTAAAGCATTAGCACCAATCCGTAAGCGGGAACTCAGTAATCTCAGAATACATGCTTGCTGAATCATGAGAAATAAAATGAAAAAATGTATTAGATTATAGAAGTTCATCAGCATATCTGTGTCATGAATGCACAAAACAACAGACGAAATCTCTGTCCTCTAGAAATGTATCACATAATGTAAGGTGTGAGAAGGGATGACTGATTGTAAGTCATAAAAGAGGCAGATGTTGGCATGACGTAATAAGTGTGAGATAGTAAACCTACTGGAGAACGGGTATCCACCAAGATTCATAGATAAAAAGATGAAAGCGAAGCCTCCGTCGCCAAACATCGCAACTGTTCCTAAGAAGATTCTCTTCATGAACCTGGAATTCAAAGGTAACGTCGCAGCAGAAATTCTTAGAAACCGCCTTTCTAAATGTCTGAAGAAGACAATTCCAACAGCTACCTTACGTTTCACATTCTCAAGCAGACGGTTAATCCAGTCTAATGTTAGGGATAAGATACCGTTTTTGGCCACTTTAGCGTATATTTGTCAATTTAACTGCTCGTTAGGAGCAAATTATATCGGCCTTAAGCAACTTCATGTCCACAAACGTATTCCGGAATACTGTCCAGCTTGATTAGCCAGAAGAGAAAAGAAGAATAGCAGAAGCTCTATCCTCAAACACCTTGTCATCTCCGGACAAAGAGCACCCTAGGATGAATATTTCACAGTGCTACAAAGAGTCCCTCAATATCGTACAAAGGGACTTCGGATACGCCATCTATACATGGCTGAAGCATTAGCTATTCGGGATATGAAAACGGACCTCTGCATTCAAAAGGGATGCATACATTCACTCTTCCTACCGCGCCCAGAGCAAAGTTCTTACTAAAATTTTGCTTCTTCTTTTCATTACGCAAGTTCACTGTGATTATTATTACTACTATTATTTTATTATCATTATAATTCCCATCATCGATATTTTATCACCACTCTATTGCTGTTTATTAATAACATTGCTTTTCATACATATTTCGTGCAAAACCACTTTGTCGCCTTTTCACTAGTTCCTGTTCACTTTACACGAGCTTATTGATCGGTCATTATCTCACACTTACTATGTCATGCCAACTCCTGTCTCTTTTCTAACTTACAATTAGTTATCACTTCTTACACCTTACATTATGCAATACATTTTTTGGGGACAAAGTTAACCAGTATCTGATTGGCCTAAAGAATTCTTTGTTAAATATAATTACGATTGTACAGCTCAGGAAAAATGAGTCGTCAGACAGAAAATTTTCTTCGATGTTTACGCCTTCCTTCTCATAAAACTCATTTTCATTTAAGAATCCTATCTAATTCTGACATATGATACTTGAACTAAAATCTCTAAAAACATCAAATTCGTTCGCATATTGCACCGTGTATTTGTAGTTGATTCGATAAACAAAGCTTCTGTTATCAATCTCTCCCTATACCCTGTGACATTCGATTTTAAAACTGTCATCCTATCCCATCAAACTATTGTATGCTTGTGTGTAACTGCATGTAGTGCTATAGTTGAACTATTCTCTAGATTTCTTATCTTATTTGGATCAACCAATCTAGATTTTCCTGCTAGGTTTTTATGTTCAGCTAGTCTGACTCCCCCTGTTCTACTAGTTTGACCTATGTATTTGACCTGACAATCATCTCAGGTAGGGTATTAGATAAACTAAATTGTTTTGTTTTAAAGGCTCTACAGGATCTTTTAACCGACAAAGCTTGTTTCCAATTGAGTTTGTGGATTTGAATGCCAGTCACTTTTATTCCTGCCTTGTTAAGAATTCTGCCTAAGGCTTCCGAGGTTCCTTCCTTGTATGGAATTACTACTGATGATTTAGATTCCTTATTGTTGGTGTCGTCATTAATATTATTATCATCACTATTATTATTATTATCATTATTATTGTTATTATCACTATCGCTACTATCATTATTTATTTTATTTTTGCATTTCTTTACATATTTCCTGACTAGTTTATCCGGGTAATTATTAAGCTTCAAGGCTTGTTTTACGTGTATCAGTTCCTGTTTTAGATTTTCCTTGGTACTACTTAGTTTTTGTGCTCTATCATCTAAACAATTCACCAATCCTATTTTTACTAACATGGAATGGGATGATCGGAAGTCGAAATATCTGTTTGAGTGTGTGGGTTTCCTGTAAACACTAGTGTTTAACTTCCCATCTTCTTTCCTTTTTACTTTGCAACCTAACATTGGAAGCTCCCCTTCCTGACTTTCCAATTCATAAGTGAATTGAATTGCTTCAACCTTCGAGTTTATGTGTTCTAAAAACCTATCTATACCTTGTGTTCTAAGTACAGTGAATGTGTCATCTGCATACCTCCACCATACTTTCGGGGTGAGTGAACGTTTCAATCATCTATGCTTTCGCACCTGTCCATGAATATGTCTGCTACAACTAAGGATATTGGTGATCCCATGGCAACTCCCTCAGCTTGTTTGTATATTTTCCCTTGGAATTTAAATACTGTGGAAATATGTAAGGAAATGTAAAAATAAAATAAACAATGATAGTAGCGATAGTGATAATAACAATAATAATGATATTAATGATGACACCAACAATAAGGAATCTAAATATTTGTGTGTGTGTACATGAGGTTTGTCAAGTTTAGATAATTGATCAGTTACTACAAGAATGATGTAGTATAGAGACAAAGTTAATCAGACAGCAACTAAAGTAAGACTGAGTTATCTAATACCCTACCTGAGATGATTGTCAGGTCAAATACATAGGTCAAACTAGTAGAACAGGGGGAGTCAGACTAGCTGAACATAAAAACCTAGCAGGAAAATCTAGATTGGTTGATCCAAATAAGATAAGAAATCTAGAGAATAGTTCAACTATAGCACTACATGCAGTTACACACAAGCATACAATAGTTTGATGGGATAGGATGACAGTTTTAAAATCGAATGTCACAGGGTATAGGGAGAGATTGATAACAGAAGCTTTGTTTATCGAATCAACTACAAACAGGTGTAATAGGAATGATTCATCACCTATCCCCGATATCTGGAAAATTCTACTACCCATACGACGAATAGGAGAAAACAAAGGAAACTATAAAACTCAAGTGTCAAAGTCGTGTGATTACAATTGATATGATGATGAACAATACATTTTGTTCGAAACTGTGTCATTCAGTAAATAATACTGTTACACTCACTGTGTGATATATCTAATAAACAAACTAATATGGAATTACTTACTACCACAGTGCCCAAATTTTACACATATATCAATAAAAACTATGTTAACGATTGCACTTCGTGGATTCCCATTAGCCGGTAGTGGTAAAATATGGAGTTTGCAGATACTCATCGAACAGTTTTCAGAATTGATGAGATGTAAATGAAGCCATCAGGAAGACGCTAATGCGTTCACATTTTCCTTAAGTAATATTGAATTCCACATGATGAAAACTACGTCACTTTTAAAGAATCATAAAATAACTGGTGAGCTAAACAGTGGATCACAAACACTATCCAATCGTCAGTCATGATTCTCAAATCTTGAAAACATTTACTAATCTGCTAAATCCCGCGGTTTATTATTGTAGACTTAAGCAACCCTTTCCACTACAAAAAAATTGAACTACAATCAAGCTAACGAAAAACAAAACATGTAGTTCAGCGAAGAATCTCTTTTTGGCAAATTAATTCATATAGCTGTACAATCGCAATTATGTATAATTTTCTTCTTATATGAGAGTATACATTAGCTTTGTCAGGGAAGAATGAAAATCACTTAGGGTCATTGTTTAATTCACCAAAATATTTCAAGAAATGTGACGAATAATCAAATACTAACTAGGTAGATGGAAACTCATAAGAGGGTAGAGGTAGTGCGTTCTGAAAAAATAGTAGTTAATGCTAGTCAATGAATAAGAGAATTTGAATAAGTTTATTGTAGTTGTGTAATTAGATGAACAATTTGGTGAGTGATTTTTGATTAGGATGTACATAGAAATGAAGGAAAATATGGAATTAAGTAAAAGTTGTGAAGAAATACAATAGCTACAAGGAATTAGAAAAGCAAACACACAAACACCAAGTCAGCAGAAATCAACACGGTTATTGCCATGATATTAGAAGTGGTCAGATGGTTTTCTGTGTTAAACAGGAGATAGTAAGACTGCAATGGGAGGTTCATAATGAGATAACGAATATGTGAAATGAAAGAGGTGGAGGCATATATTGAGAAAAGAGATAATATCACTAATAATAAGTCCGGATAGTATATCTCATTATGAACCTCCCATTGCAGTCTTACTATCTCCTGTTTAACACAGACCACTTTGTACTAGCCACTCACCTGACACCTTTTATAACCTTGAACTGACTTGTCAATTTTCCCACCCCACACTCTACAAATCTATTATGATTAATCACCATTGTCTCCCGTTTTATAATATTTTGTAATCGAATTCAGCCTAGTAAGATGGTTTTCTGTTGTGTACAATTGAATGGCTAAGGCTTCAGCAATACAAAGGAGACGAAAGCGTATTGCTTTACTTTTAAATCCCTTTGAAGGAGGCATTTGTTGGGATGGAATGACCAGTGGTGACGAGATGTCCGATTATTGCACTCCTTATATAGCCACTACTACATTTTGTAGACATGTGAGATAGTGTTTTCAAACCCTTTTGGAAATGATACGGGTCAAACGACCAATGTGCTTGGCTACACAGCAACAAGTGAACTAATATATGTAAATAGAAGTGGTCAGATGCGGGATCTTGTCCTTAAGGCTTCTGCATGCCAATGGGCGACTGGAGAACAATACTCAGCGCTGCCGAGAAGAAAGTTCTCGAAGAAGCCAAAATTCTTCTCCTAAGGATATCGCAAGCCAAATCTCCCTTAAAATCTAGATTCATGTAAAGATTCTTTTTTGCAACAAGTAATGTTTCGTTCCTCTGAACTTTTGGTCTGATATTCCTGTCGATGAATTTTGTTGGGTATCCATTTGGGATGAAGGTTTCTTTCAAAAGATACAGTTCGGCTCTCAGGGTGTCAGGACTGCAGATGCGATGGTTCCGAGTGGCAAGGGGTTTCACTAGATTTCGTTCTCGTCCAATGGGCACCAAACTGTAGAAAATTGTTGGTTGACCGTTATAAGTAGGTCCTCTATCGATTAATCTTCTCAAGGTTCCGTAGGGTCATCTGGTTAATTCCACCTGTTTTGTTTTTCATTAATGTCCGAATAGCGATTATTCCAGGTCAGAATGTTGAATATTCGTTGAAATAGATGAGCTTAAGTAATAAATAGATCAATTTTTTCATATGTTAGGCAGTCACTATTAGGTGCTGGAAGAATTAATAATGAAGCAAACAATTGGATTAGCAATGATTTATTTGAGATTTTGTGAACGTTTAATCTGCAATGTCCACTTATTTTACATGCATTGAAGTGATTCAAATGAAGCCTACATTTTCGCAGTTTGTTATCAACACCCATATAATCATTCTTCTAGCTATAAAGTGCACTTTGAATGACAAATACTATAGTCAATTAAAGTAATGCATGCATGAAATATAGTGATGGAAAGAACTAAGCATCTAATTAAACAAAAGAATTCTGTGGCAAATATGAGTCAACAAGTCAGTGTTTATCTGAATCTACTTCAACCAGTCAAGGTCTCTAGATAACCGTTACAGTAAACATGTAACTAGAGAAGATATTCAAAGGTCAGATAATCTCAGTCTGACTGCTTGCACAGCGGATCTTTCTTCATGAAATTTAAGAAGGAAATTTAGAGAGTAGATATACTGGCAAATTCAGAGGCAACCAAGAGTTCTTACAGAATCTCTAAGCTAATTCGAATGAAAAACTGAAACACGAAAACAGATTTAAATGAAACGTGAAGATAGTTACATGATGTCGGCCGTTAACAAAAAGGTTATTTTCAGTTTATGCACCTACGTCTTTCACATCGGCATTAAATAAACTGGATGCTTAAGAGTACTGCATAAAAATTTTAGAAACGTTTGCAAAAGTGAAGACCAGCATTGTTGCATTTCCATACAGTTGGTATAGACTCTATAGACTGCATCTCAACGTATACATCGATTTCAAAATCTGACGTCACATATGGGTTATCGTGCTAGGACGTAAAATATAGCACCAAGACTACACTTCCTGTCAACAGGCTACTGGTGTTTTTCTACCAACCTGCACTGAATGGAAATGTAACTCTAGATTTGGATATCTCTTGAGGAATACTCGTATCACTTTAAACATTACAGCTGCAAATAAAATGAACTAACAGCGTCTAAATTTCGAAGCAACTGTGACAACTAAATGAATTAAATTTCATACGGTCATTCATCGAGGGTGAAAGTCGAAATAAACACATTGCTGAGATGTAACCAAAAGTTTGAACAAAATGGCATGAAACAGCTTATGGCTGTCAAAAACTGAAGCAATTAAAATTGATCTTCTAGATTAATAAAAAAGAAGGCAAAAATAATTCTTAAGAGATATACTGAAATTTAGAACAAAGATTAGTTCGCCTATGTCTCAAAGGTCGTTTCCGTCATCTGACTGCGAAACAGTGAAGTTTTCTTACAAAGAACATTGCACCATTGCTTTCTGTTGATTCGCGCAACGTGAGATTGAACCTCTTCTGAACAGTACCTGAAAGGCAGTGACGTAGGCAGAACATTACTGAAGGAGCTATGCGCGTGTCAGATGGTAGTGAGTTTCGTATGTGATAAACTATAAGAGGAGAAAGTGTGGGCCTCAGCTGTAGTACTATCCTCTCATCAATAAGACATATTGGTTTTCCATGGAGTACGTCGTGTTGCGAATTCGCCAGTACATCTTTCCTCAAATGCCTCGATTTTTTCTGTTGCGTGGGCTTTCATCGAGTCATTACTTGCTTTTTGGCAACTAGGAATCTTCTGTTGATCCGGATGAAGTAAGGGTGGGCCTCCCAAGTACAGCAGCTTGAGTGGAATCATGTAGACCTAAAGTCAACTCTCCACGAATGGTAAGTAAAGGTGAATTTTTTTCCCTTCACGTTCCCCAGTGGAACATGGGGCTTCAAGCTAGTGGCTTGAAGTTTCTGTAGCAGTATTTATTTTATAGGATGGGGTTGCTAGCCTCATGCCCAACCTTTCGTTTTTATCAGCATTATTTCCGGCTCAGCGAGGTAAAGGAGTGCGGTGGTCGGTAATCGAACCCAGGACCATGTGCATGGTCGGCGAGCATCCTAACCGCTGTGCCACTGACGCACTGTGAATTGGTGCTGTGAAATCCTGCCTGGTGAAAAGTAACTGATGTAGAATAAAAAGCATCCCATTATACATGTTAAAATTATCCAATAGGGCTATGTTCGAGTAAAAATAATTGAACTCACTACTTGGGGCGCAAGGACAGTTCCACCAAAGTCGATTGATCGTGAACCAAGTTCGTATGGGTTCGTTTGAAGAAAACAACCACGATCTACAAGATGCATAACTCTTTTGACATACTTCGAACCAAGTAACTTATTATCTGTGTCAAAACAGAATTAAAATGTAGAATCTTATTACCCTCGAGATGCGTAAGCAGATGTATGTGTTTAGTCTCATCTGTTCGACAGGTAGCTTCGCATGTAACAGAATGCAAGATAATTATGATAATTAAAACGCTCTGGAAATTTATGGTCAGACCCATTTGACTACGAAAATAGATATAGGCAGATTTTGATTGACTACACGGTATCGCAAATAACAACTTTGAATTATCGCCTTTCGAGATCCAACTGGTGGTAAAAACCAAGATTCAGATTCTCAGATTCAGATTTATTGGTTGAAGATAGAAGGCTTGGAGCCTATGTTAATCCTTTTCTAGTAAAATTCTGTGGTTGTCCAAACCCTTCTTGAACGAATCAACTGAGGTTGCAGACACCACTTCTTCTGGGAGTCGGTTCCTCCAATATCCAATATCCTGGTTACGAGCTAGTATAAACCAGTGATTTCTTTGAGCTCGCTTCTTGATTGTAAGGTAGAGGTTCCAGATCTTCGGTGAAAAGTCGTAATGTACAATATACAATATCTCTGCAGCAAGCTATCATTAGCTCGCTGATTATCTGGCGTTCGTTTAACGGTGCTAATATTAGTCTTAGATGTTTGGTGGATTCTAGTACATCAGATCTGCTGAATACATTAGGTAGAATTATATCAGTTTATATTTTGAAGAAAGGAGCATTGTGTTCCAAAATGGTATGACAAAGGAAAATCGAGGTTGCTGCCCCTACAGGCAAAGTGAAAAAGTGAGGAGAGATTATAAGAACAGAAGGTAAAATTAGCAAATAATTATTTGTTCTTCTGTTCCGAGTAAAACAACTCGACCTTTAACTGTCCCGTGCAGTATTTGTTTTCTGACGCCGTGACTTCTCACAATCTTTCACTCCCTTTCTAAATGGTGCTCTCCATGCCACACTCTCATTCGGGTCCCACTGCAGGGGATCAAAGAAGTTCATCAATTCTACTGAAACCCAGAAATTTCACATTCATTCGTCTATCTGAACTGACTGAATCAGATTGAGAAAAAGCGGGTTTCAAGGAACAAGAGCTCAGTTGTGCATTGCAGTGTGATTGAACATCTCTGTACTTTCCTCACACCATCGTTAATGGATATAATTTTGGACAACTTTAAAGGTTATATTCTATCTTCGCTGGCTGTGGCGGTGTGAAGAACAGCCTAGTCACCATGTCAAGTGGGTCAGTCTAAGGGATCGACAGGTAGTTTCACGGAAGCTCAGGTGAAGCGAGATATATAACCACACAGTATCCATGAGCATTGTTTTAGTCGAAACCAATAGTAGGAGACCTTGAGACTGTTCAAGCAGCCCAACTAAATGTTTTCCTAGACTAATAATGGGGGTGAGTTTGGTGTTAATTGACAGTCTCCTCAGGATGTCATCAGTCAATCTTCATTTCATTCACTTACTCACTAGACAGCACGTTCATTTGTGGCCCCATTCCTGCAATGGTTACTTATTGGTTATCTGGCCTACTGGCCATCCTACCTCCGATATCAAGCGTGAGCATCTGTTGATGGGAGACTGTAGTAGCCCATCAGAATTACTATGAGTGTTGGGCTGTATCTCCGAACCATGGAAGAGCGTTGGCTTGACATTTGTGATAAAAATGCGTTTCTTAATCCCTGTGATAGCTGTCATGGGCCTGTCAAGCTTTTTGTGTCCTGGTTGAAATGATATTGCCTAAAGAAGTCAAATATAATAGTTCTCTTAAAAATACTGCCTCTGATGGTGATTGTTGATTTTAATCGGCATTCAAAGAGTTTTTAGTGTTTCTATTTTTTATTTTATTTTATTTTTTTATTAGAGCTTGTAACCACACAGTATTTTTGGTACATCTATGGAATTTTCAGCATATGATATCGGCAGCCCAAATTTTGCAGGCTGACCATGGATATCAGGTGTGCGTTGGCAGGGGATTGAACCCCGGACCATGTGCATGGTCAGCAAGAGTTCTAACCGCTGTGCTACCGACGCACAGTTCACATAAGGTCGTGTCTTTTTCACCTTGACTGACAACTATCCGAATTTCGTTTCAAAGTCTCTTGTGGCGAGCGACGCTTAAGTGCGAACCACCTGAGAAAGTCAGATCTTCTAGAGTGTTTTCCTGGTCGAATGTATGCACATCTTCTCCCTTCACGTGGTCCGCAACACCACACAGTCCACCTTAGTCAGGGAGATCGTTAGTGATACTAATCGGAACTATCTTCATCTTGTCTTCACTTCAAACGCTTAGTGAACTTCTGATTCCGAATTCTGGACATAGAGCGTCTTCATATAGCTATTAAGTTCGCCGGAGCGTTGGAGATGTCCTAATAGCTTCAGATTCGATGAAGTCAACTGCTATTCTGAAGTTGTATTCTATGAATATGCGAGATTCTGCGTTTTGACTCCTTGAATCTAGTTAGCTCCAAGAGGACGTTTACATACACTGAATTGAGATATAGCTGCCCAACAAGCCGTAAGTGTCGAGTTGCTGTGTCACTACCATCTACTGTGGCTGAAAATGACGGCAACAATATGCGGACAACTAGTAATAGCATTGCTTCTACAAACTCAGCACCTGGCCCTGCCATAGACCTCTTCACCTTATGTACGTGTCACAAAACTTCGGATACCAAGTCCAGCTTCAACACTTACTTCAGAAATAGAACGACTACAGCTGTCTGTAGAAGAGCTGAAAACTTAGATGCAGGATATAAGGAGTAGTAAGGCTATGAATGCAGGATGTTCAGAAAATTCGGCCAGCATATCTGAACAACAAACACAAATTAGTGATGCAAAATTGCAGGTCTGCGAACTTCCACCTCTAAGCATTCTGACCAGAACCATAAGCCCTGACGAACTTGGCACAGAATCAGTGAATAAGGTAGACATCTTGATAAACTTCATCACGACAGAGGTTATCAAAAGAATCGATACTAACCTAAGTGTGATATTCTGTAATATACCAGATAATGAGGGGTTGAAAAAGGTTCAGAGCATCCTACTCGGGGCGGTGAAAATGCTTAACTCGCAAACGAAATGCCACAGACTGAAACAGTCAACACAACCACTGCTGCCCTATACGCCTTCATTTTTAAACACAGACAGAGGCTAGGAAATTCACCAACACACAACGTATCCTATTACAGGACACGAGCTACAAACAAATAAAAGTAGTAGCAGATAAGACAGTGATTGAAAGTTGTGCTTACAATCACCTCAATGAACTAATGTTAGGAAGGGCAGGACACCGCAAGTCACAAAATTAGGTAAACTCACGGCCAACACCTTAAGGCTCATGGCCTCCCCCTCTCAAATCTCACAAAAATAGCCCCACGGAACACGAGACCAACTGGAAGACTAGCGAATTATAACCCTACTCCTAAATTAACCCCTCCACCCTCTACCGTGGATCTAGATATATCTCTGGACAGTCCTAAGACATAAGTGAATGCCGCTTGTAAGTCGACAATATCTTCTAGAAATAACGTGAGAATTCAAATGGAATTTGGTAACAAAACATGTAGAAATACACCATTTGTTACAAAAATACCCCGATATTTTGAAAAAACTAAGAAGAATTCACGCCTTAAGGTAAATAATATGCGAAAATATCCTGACAACCGCAATAAAATCACAAACAAGTCCATACGGTCCACGGACATTAACTACACAACTTTTTCGGATACCGTGCCAGGTCACACTAGTAGCTGGTGTAACGACACCATCACGCAAAATAGCACAAGTGGCAACACTCAGCAACCAACCACTCTAGGTCCTTGAAGTGTGACACACAATCGAACTTTGAAGAACATACAGAACAAGTCTGCTGGGAATCAAACCACAGTGCGGCGATGCATATGATGAAACATATGTAAGGACACTTAGAATGTCTCCAAACAATAGGCAGATTAGTAAGTCATGGGCATCACAAGATACCAATGATTTTTTATTCAACACATCCCTGTCAGGGCTGACCAAGCGACTGGTGGGGATGTTAAATCTTCTGAACCCGTACCACCAATGTTGCTTCCCTATCGGGAAGAAAACAGACACAGTCCAGTTCACACGCAATGTCCCCAACGTTTCGTCATTCAAACTTTGGTTTTTAATTATGGAGCTTAAAATACGCTTAATAATTCCTATAAGTCTTTCCCATAGCCCACCTCTGTAGCTGGCATGTGGTGGGTTGAAGTGCCACTCAATGTTTCTTTTCAATAACTCTTCATGAACTCTCGTTTGAGGACCTTCGAAATACTCTTTAAGCTCGGCGTGACAGCTAACAAAATTAGTCCCCCTGTCACTGAACATCATCTTCGGTGTACCTCGGCGATTTATGAATCTAAGTAATGCTGGAACGAATGAAACAGTAGTTAACGTATGAACCATCTCAATATGCACAGCTCTAATTTTCGAACAGGTGAATAAACAGCCGTATCTTTAGCATAGGGTTTTGCCTCTCTTCACAACGAAAGGTTTGAACAAATCCACTCCGATATACTCGAATGGATAATTCCCTTCAGAAACTTGCTACGCTGGGAGTGATGCCATCATCTTCTGTGCTTAGCGAGCATTCCTTAGTTTACATTCCATGCACTTATCAATTATTTTATGGACAGCAGTACATTCTTCTACGGTTTCTCCAGTAGTCAAGCATTCTAACTGAAATGACACTCGTTCACATATTTACGTTTTCGCAGAACTGAAAGTGTTTAGGACCAAGGATTGTTTTGGGACCTTAATACCTAAACAGCCAGCTATTATGGGTAAATTTTATTTTGATAGAGTCTCACAGTATTATACAGTAATATTTACTGAGAGTGAGGATATACGCTATGACGTGTTAAATTTTCCGCGCCTCAGGTTTTCTCGTCTTTCATTGGCTGGAACAGTGATGGCTAATTTGATATTTAATTTGTCCTTGTTAGGTGATGTCGTGTGCAGGTTTGTGTGGTTGAT